TTTTGCTATATTTTCTTTTTTACTTTTTAGTTGAGTTTTTGCCTATTTACTATTATTATTAATTTTAATGAAAATTTACAGAGACTTTGGATTTTCATTTATTCATTGCTGCAGTTTTCTCTCTGCCCACCTCTCCTCACCCTAGTACACTCTTCTCTTTGAAAAGGAAAAGAAAAATTCTTTCATTGTTTTATAATCCCTCCCCCCAAGTGCACCCTACTATGTAGCCTTTGTTCTGGACTCCTGTCATTACAATAATACCCAATCACATATTCCTTTTAAACAGTTTTCTCCCTCCTCTGTTTCAAGGCAGTACACATTATTTATCCCATCTTTCTCAGTCTCTCCTGAACCCTGATGTCAGTCCTGTTTCACAACAGTGGTACTATGCAGTATTTGTCCTTTTGAGACTGAGATATTTCACTCAGTATAATGTCCTCCAGGGTCACCCTTTTGAATGATATTGGATGAATTCCTTGATTTTCAAGGCACCATAGTACTCTATTGTGTGAATATACCACAGCTTCTCTATCCATTCATTTTTTGATGGGCACTTAGTTTGTTTCCAACTCCTTGCTATTGTGAACAAAACCGCGATAACCATGGGTGTGCATATGTCTGCTTGGGTGGCAGTTATGGTCTTTGTGGAGTATATTCCCAGTAATGAAATTGGTGGGTCTAATAGAATCTCTTTTTGCAACTTTTGGAGAGTCCCTCCGCCTTCCCCAGTGGTGGCACCATTTTATACTTCCACCAACAGTGGATAAGGGTTCCAGTTTCTCCACAACCTTGCCAGCATTTGTTGCTTTCTGTTCTGTTAAATTTTGCTATTCTGACAGGGTTGAGATGATATCTCATAGTTTTTATGATTTGCATTTCTCTTAGAGCTAGGGATTTTGAACATTTCTTCATGTGTTTGTTGGCCATCTGAATGTCATCTTTGATGAAGTGCCTGTTCATATCCTGTGCCCATTTTTCAATTGGATTGTTTATCTTTATCTTGTTGTGGTGTTCAGTTGAGATTTTAATGAAAGTTTATAAAGGACTTGGATTTCTATTCATTCATTGTTGCAAATTTTCCTCCCTGCCCCACCCCGGGTTTTTTTCTCCCTCTTTGGAAAAAAAGTTCTTTCATTGTTATACAGCTTCCCCCGCCTTCTCCCTGCCAGTCCACTTTACTATGCAGATCTTATTCTGGACTCTTGTCATGCCAATCATATTTATTCATATATATTCCTTTTATATAGTTCTCTCCCTCACCTGTTTCAATGCCGTGTACATTATTTACCCCCTCTTTTCTTAATTTCCCCCCAATGTCCATGTCAGTCCTGTTTTATAATAGTAGCTTTATGCAGTGTTTGTCTTTTTGTGACTGAGATATTTCACTTAGTATAATGTCTTTTATGGTCACCTATTTTGAATAATATATAATAAGTTCTTTTATTTCAGTGCTGCATAATATTCCATTGTCTGAATATCCTACAGCTTCTCTAGTCAATAGTTTGTTGTTGGGTGTTGGGTTGTTTCCAACCATTTGCTATTGTGAACAAAGCAGCAATAAACATGGGTGTGCATATATTTGCTTGGGTGGCAGTTCTGCTCTCTTTACAGTATATTCTCCACCTGTAATTTTTGGGTCAAATGGTATTTCTATTTCCAACTTTTTGAGAAAGTGTTATAGATCTTTCCATACTTGTCACACCATTTTATACTCCAACGAAGAGTGAATAAGGGTTCCAGGTTTTCCACAACCTCTCCAGAATTTGTTGTTTGCTGTTCTGTTAAATTTCACTATTTTTACTGGGGTGAGATGCTATCTCATAGTTGTTTTGATTTACATCTCTCTTAGAGCTAGGGGTTTTGAACATTTCCTCATGAGTTTGTTTGCAAATAGCTGGCCCATTTTGCAATTGGGTTGTTTACTTTTATCTTGCTGTGGTGTTCGAGTATTCTATAAGTTCTAGATATAAGTCCCTGATCAGACATGTCATTACTAAATATTATTTCCCAGTCAGTGGCTTCCCTTTTTATCCTACTGGAGAAGTTTTTGGATGTGCATACGGATTTGATTCTTATAAAGTCTTATTCATCTATTTTATCCACTCCTAGTTGTAGGTTTTTCAGGATACTTGGAAGACCATTCACATTGTGGATTAGTGCTTCTAGGGTTCTTCCAAGCTTTATGGAGAGTTCCTTAACTACAGACTTTTGCTGCACAATACATCTTCTGATCTCCTGACTGTTGGTTCTAATTGGATTGATTGTGAATGTAAGTAGGATGAAGTTGTTGACAGTCTCAATCCTTTCTCCATCTATCATAGTGTTGCCTATCAGTCTAGTAGCAAGGATTTTTTTTCTTGATATTGAGATGCAATCCATACTGAAGACTGCAGTGTTTAAAACTCTGTAGCAAGTGCGTCAGGTTATCCTCATTTTTAGCAAGCAAGGTTGGGTCATCTGCATAATAAAAGGTCATTGATGAGTCTTCCTCCTATTATGGTGCCACATTTTTCTTCATAAATTACAGTTTCTCTAGTAATTTTCTCACCATGCAAATTAAATAGGTATGAGACAGGATACAACCCCAATAGAGGTCTTTCCCTACAGCTACTTTAAGGGAAAAGGATAGGTAAACTTCTTCCATATGGTTAAGTGCCTCTGAAAATCCTCTGAAGGGCCACCTATTGGTCAGTTCTGATTCAATGGTACATAGTAATAGTGTTCCCTTCTTTTAACCCAACATCCTCTTGGACTAAGTATAGGTTTTGTATGAATTCTATTAAGTGTTCTGGAGTCCCAATTCTTCTCAATCTTAACCACAATATGTTGTGATCCACACAGTCAAATGCTTTGGCTAGTCAATACAGCACAAATTTACATTTTTCTGATATTCTTTGCTGTTAGCCAGCATCCATAAGATGTTGTTATGTACCATTGAGTCGCTTGTGAGTCATAGTGACCATATGTAGTAGTCCTTAAACGTGTTCTATTCTGTGTCAACTAAACTGTCTCTGACACACCTACCCTCATTACCCCAGTCCCTGAATCAATCCATCTCATCCAAGGTCATTATCTGTTTCTCTGTCCCTCCACCCTTCCAAGCATGTTGTCCCTCTCCAAGGACTGGCCCCTCTTTGCAACATGCCCAAAATATGCCAGAAGAAGCCTCAGAATCCTTACCTCCAATGAGTAGCCTGGTTTCACCCTCTCTAGGTTGAACCTGTTTGTTCTCCTGACAGTCGCTGGTATATTCAACACTCTTCTCCAGGACCACAGCTCAAAAGCATCAATTCTTTTTCTATTATTCCTAGTCATTGTCCAGCTTTCTGACACAGAGCAAGCAATTGCAAAGACTGGCTTGGATCAGGCTCACCTTCGTCTCCAGATTGATGTTGCTCTTCAGTCTCTGGAGAGATCTCTTATAGCCAACTTTCCAAATGCAATCCGTCTTTTGATTTCCTGGCTGCGGTTACCAAGAATGTTGATTGTGGAGTCAAGCAAACTAAAGCTGTTAACAATGTCAGTTTCTTCACCATCTATCTTAGTGCTGCCAATCAGCCCAGTGGTGAGAATCTTTGCTTTCTTGAAGTTGTGCTTCAACCCATATTGAAGGCTGCAGTCCTTGACCCTCTGTAGCAAGCACTTCAGGCCCTCCTCAGTTCCAGCAAACAGGGTTGTGTCATCAGCATAATAATGCAGATTGTTGATGAGTCTTCCTCCAATCCTGATGCCATAGTCCTCCTCAGAAAGCCCAGATGATCTGTTCTGTATGTAGATCAGAAATTATATCTTTGGTCCACAGCCTCTTCTAAATCCAGCTTGAATGAATATCTGGCAGTTCTCTGTTTATGTACGTTTTAGCAGTTTTTGAGGATCCTCACAACAACACAAATATTTTGCTGGAAGGTTAGACTTTGATATTAGAATGATCTGGATAGTAAATTTTTCTTCTGATTGGATTAGCCTTGTGCTAAGTGTGGTGTTTCTTATTTCTATAAGTGGATCAATTTTTAGACCTGTGTTATTATTTGTGTAAGTGGATTATATTTGTAATAAATATTTTTTTAAAAATTGATAAAGTTAAATTTGTAATTGTTGGCTAATGTTATTCTGAAGTAACCGTGAGATTAAATGCTTTAATGTATGTCTCATTGACACACAATGTATTGTGAATCTCTGCTGGTTTTTTAAAGTTGTATAAACTAATGGGCCAAAATTGTCTTATCTTTCTCTTAAGAAGGACCTTACGGATTTCAACCAGTGATATTTTGCTTAACAACACAACACACAAGTAATTATAAAATTAAAAACACATGCAGGTTTACTTTTTTTGTTGTTGTTGGTCACCCTTTAGTACATCACATTGGTGAGGACTTTGGGGGACAGAGAGGTGCACTCAGTCCTTCTTGGCAGCCACCTTCGTCATGGCCGCCAGGACGTTGCTGAGTTCTTCTCACTTCCTCTTGGCGCAGATGTGTGTCCCCACCCTTTTCTTGATGAACTGGAGGACCTGCTTGTTCTTGGAGACCTTGAGCAGCTCCAAGGCGCGTCACTCGTAGGGCGCGAAGCCACGCACCTCCCGAATCATGTCCCACGTGAACTTGGTGTGCTTGCTTGGTGAAGCTCACGTTCTTGGTGGCTTTGTGGCCTCTCTTGAGGCCCACAGCCATATGGTAGCGCACAGCCAAGGCTGCTGCACATCTACAGCTGCCGCGGATGAAGCAGCAGATTTACTTTTTTTATGCTAAGTTTCATCTTCTGCTCCTAAGTTGTTGTTATGCAGAAATACTGGAATATAAAATGCTGTGGATGGCTTTTGTAGGAATTCTGTCTTGCAATTGCCTACTATTGGTATTTAAGGTTCAGTTTTCCTTTAAATGATAGTTACTGGGAAGAGGAAACAGTATTTACTTTCTTTGTGAAATGTAAATTCAATAGTTCCACTGGATTTTCAAAGCATAGTAGCTATTATCCCTCTCCCTTGTCCCCAGCACTCTATCTTGAGACTTACCAGGAAAGTTTTTGTTAACTGCT